GCTTTAAAGTATCGGCACTCCGTTCCCCAAAATTGTTTTGGGCGCCGCCATTTTGGGTCTTGTTCAGAGCAAGCACAACTGCCAATCGTCATGATCCAAAAGTACGACTTCCTCAGCATTAGATGCGGTGCTAGGAAGCTGATGCACTAGTGCAATGCTCTGTCGTGGGTTGTTTAAACATTTGTGGGAGACGGAAAAGCATTTCCTGTGATTTTAGATAAAGCTTCAGATAACTGGTAACCATGATTTTAAGCCACAATATGGCCAAGTGTCGTTATTCTGAACCGTAGCTAATTTACTGGCACAAGCGGGAACAATGAGGAAGAGGCAGGTGTCAAAAGGTAGTGGCTTGTGGAATCCACGGGGCTTACTTCATGGCCCCTACAGGTTATACAAGGCTTTTGAACAAGAGCATGAATAGAGTCATTAAATAAGCTACGCTTCAGAGTAGCGACACTTGGCCATATTGTGGCTTAAAATCATGGTTGCCAGTTATTTGAAGCTTTATCTGAAATCACAAGAAACGCTTTTCCGTCCTCCAATTTAAACAGTTTGCGACAAAGCAAAGCAACATTACATGAGCTTCCTAACACCGACTCTAATGCTGAGGATGCCGCACTTTTGAATCATGACGATCGGCAGTTGCACCTGCTCTGCACAAGCACCAAAATGGCGGCGTTCACAACCCTGTCGGGGAAGAGAGTGCCGATACTCTAAGCGCAGCTCATTTATTGGCTCTAGTTCCCGCGAAACTCCTTTTCCCTGACTGAAACTAAAAGTAAATATGAATAATACACCATTATTATAGCTTATTTAGTTATAACGGTTATAACCAATTCCACATAATGAGACGAGGAAGCGGCCGGGTAGGAGAAACGCGGGTTTTATGTGCGACCGTTCTAACTTCTAACCAGGGTGTCGAACCGGAACCGAACCGAACCGAAAACCGGAACAGAACCGTTATTTTTAGCCGAACCGGAACTGAACCGAACCGAAATCTTCGCCGCCATCTTGGAACTGAACCGGAACCGAACCGAAAAAAATATAACGGTAACCGGTTCAGAACGGTTCAAGGTAATATTTTTTTTTTTGTTTTTTGTTAGTATCACAAAATGAACATATGGGAATAGAAAATTGGCGGCTGTATTTCTATCTATTGATCAAATCGTCATATACAGAATTGCAATGTATGATAAATTGTAGGTTTTTGTGGCACCTTTGTATTGGCACTATAATTAACCAAGTGTCACGTGGTCACGTGACGTCATGGTGTCACTACACGTTGTCGAGTAATGTCACGTGGCCTCGTGACATCACGTGACTCACTGCGTCAACTCGATTTAATTTAAGAAAGTCATTAGATGTATTGACCTTGTTGACAGCATGACGTAAATTGACATTACGATTTCGCACAGAGAGTCACGTGACACCGTGACGTAAGCGAGTTTCATAACCCCTACTCGAGTGCTCGGGCTCATGACAATCAGCATCGCCAAACATTCGGGTAACGGCTCATGTCAATTAAATATGATAATTAATAGCCCAACTCTAAGAATATCTGAAGCTCAGAACAAGCTTTTGCTTTCCAAACCCTATCCGCCTAGGGCATGACTGTGATGAACACTGGCGGCATATAATTAGCGTCAGATCACGTGGTCGCTTGTTAAATTGCGAGTTGGGGAGATATCGACAGCTGTCTCTGTCCTTTATTTTTTCTGCATCTGTTGTTAGGGAAAACTAATGAATGTTTCCGGAAGCTATCAATGTCAGGGGTTATGTCTGAACACTATTTATTGAAAGTACAAAAAAAAAAGTTGCAAGACCAATTTTACATTATTGAGGCACCGAAACATTTTTTCGTTGTTGCTGAACTGCATCTGAAAGATGTCTCTGAGAATCGTTCTTAAATGACTAAATGCGACTTAATATTATGACGTTACGTAGAACACGTGTTTACGGAAGGAATACATAAAAAACAATGTTTTAGTGACCTCAGAGGAACAGCCGAACGTTGGCAGTCGCTGTAAGTCTCACACGAGCATCGTTGTCAATTTATTGCCTAAGTTTCGACCCCCTCTGTACTTTGCTGAAATGAGCTATAAAAATACTTGTATAAATTACTAAATACTACTCAGGACCACTCTCTAACGTTAATAACTGATTGAACTTGACTTTGCTCTATTTTTCTAGGCGGTCGCCAAAAAATTAGAGAAATATGAGCATTGTTCATCCCCTCAGCTCGGAGCCAGAAGCGGCCACGTGGCCTGGTGCCTGTCTTATGCCGCCAACTTTAATCATACCCCCGCGCTGGGGTTTTAAAGGAAGAAAACGCGTGCTGGAGCCAGACATGTACAAATTACTCAAAAAAGGTAGTTAAGTTACTGAGTATCGACGCAAAAAGTAATTGGAGTAGAGTAGAAATTATGCATTTGTAATAGTAATTGAGTAAACTACTAACTACTCTAAAAAGTAGCGAGTTACTTTGAAGTTACTCTCGAAGTTACTTTTTTATATTTTTGTGGTAGAAAAATGAACAGCAGTTTTGATCCGTGAAAAACACTGCGAGCCTAAAATAAGTGCAGTCATTTTAAGGCTTACGTTTTCACCAAAATAGCTAATTCGTTCGCAGAAGCAATTGACTTTTAAAGTTCTTGATAGGAGAATTTTTCATTTTTCCTCCTAAAGACGTCCCCCAGTCAAGCTAAAAAGACGCTCCACCGACGCGCTGGACGGAATGGCAGCGTTGAATTTGAGAAAGAAGCTGTGCAGGGTCGGGTAATCGATTGTCGGCATCTTAGGTGTCCATGACGAAACATGTGAGGTTTGCCTCGGGTAGGGGGTCTTTTATAACAAACTCCTCCTTTTTTGTTTCTTTTTTTGGCAAGTTGAGATTGTTATGACTGGCCCCTCTTCATTCCTTCGACGTTCTGAGAGTAGGCTGAGCGAGTGCACCTGACCGTCAAGGGTTCAAGTCTCGCGCCACCACGATGAGAGCATCCGGACGACTGCGCGTCTCGTTGCAATGCTAGTGCTACGCTACTAAAAAAAAAATTGTTTTGGTCTAACAGAAGATGAACCGAAATATACTTCGCCGCTGACGTCGGGTCCAACAAAAGGATCTCCCAAGGGCAGCTCACAATCCTCGCCGTCGACTATGGTATCCTGACGCGCCTGACAAGTAAATCGTTTTCGACAAAGAGGAGGTCTCCCTGGCATGGAAGGTCGGACGCGAAGGATTACGTCAACAAGCATCGTCGCTCGTACAGTTGCAGCTGGAAGCGAGAACGTGCACCCATGAACGGATTATCCGTGTCTGGATTTGTGTGCGGGGGAGTCCGGCTTTGCAAAGGCATATGCACTGACGACGAGGCGACCATGGGAACAGGCGCCCAGCTGCGAGGTCATTCCAGTGATGCCTCCCGTGGAATCCCCAAACCGCTTGAGGCAGATCGCACTAAAGGCAGACAACATAAAAACAACAACGACGCTCGGAATGTCCCCGTCTTTCATGGTTGCAGCAGGAGGCGCTACACCTGCATGCATTACCGGATTAGGTCAATACCCGTCCAGGGCTTGTTAAGCATTTCTTTCTGCGTTCATGCGCGCCGGTGTTATGTTTTGGCTGCTCGTCACCACCTTGGCGCAACGACGCCTGTGATGAAGTTCCTACAGCTGCCGAATATAACTGCGTGGGAACGGAATGTGAGGGGGCCCCTTGTTCAGGAATGCCACTATATCTGCCAGCGTCTTATTTATTTCTGCGCTCAAACTTTCGTCATGAGCAAAATTAGCACTAGATTTCGAAAGTAGTTAGTAATTTGAGTAGAAGTTACCTGAAAAAGGTATTTAAATTAAACTACTAATTACCCAAATCAAGTTGTAATTGAAAGTCACCAAGTTAGTCGGAAAAGTAGTTAAACTACAGTAGTTTGAGTAGAGTAGTTAAAGGGACACTGACACCCCCCAAAATTTTTTTTTTATTTTTTCCCAGGCGCTTCATTATGGTGTCGGAGGACTACCCAATTAATATTTTGCAACAGAGTAGCGTATTTTTTTAATAAAGCCAAAAGACGCAACTGCTCGAAACCGAAACCGAAACCCGACGGAGGTCGGAGAAGTGGAGAGAAGAGTGTGAGTGGCGGAAGTCACGTGGCTACACGCGACTGTGTTTTTTTTTTTTTTTTTTCCTTCTTCCCGTAGCAGACGACATGCGGCGTACCGGAACTGTTCACCGAGCGATTCTTTTGCAGTTATGTATGTTCCGCTCGTTGTTCTGTACTCCAAGATGAGTTGTTTTGTACATTGAGGAGTTGGAGATGAGTAGTGAGTGCCCGTGGTGAATTTTGATCGGCTCCGAAAAGAATACACCCAAGATGTTGCGTGAAGAGCTGGCTCACATGCCCTGCGTCCGAAACAGAAGTGGCATTGTGCGACAGAGTGTCCGAAAGATCAAAGAGGTCGGGACCAATGGCTGGCTGCAATTCCTGTAGACCATTTACGGGCACCTCGGAAAGCGGACGCTACCTGATTTATATGCTCCTTGCATTTTGTGGAAAGTGATTACATTGAGTTCGCAGGTGTCAAAAAGGAAATCCCGTACCATTTAATTCAGCGACGTGTCGTCCACAACATTTGTTTCTTATTTTTTGTTTCTTCAGTGATAATTGTTTAAAAAGAAAAAGAAATGTAGACATCAAAAAATATTTTAAAAAAAGAAAAAAAAAAAAAGGCTTCACGGGGGATCGAACCCGGTCCTACCGCGTGTGAAGCGGACGTCTTTCCCACTGAGCTACTGGGCCTTTTTTTTTTTTTTTTTTTTTTTTTTTTTTTGTATTTATTGCATGGAAAGGTGACAGGACAAACGGCAAACATACAGTTCGACAAAGTTATTACTTATAAGAATAACAATACAAACAATTAAACGGTTCTTGATCACATCAAAATATTGTTATCTGTTTACGCTCGGGAAACGAAGAAAGGATTCAAAATAAATGACATAACTAAAAATCAGGAAGATGGAGACATCGATGAATGAGAGCATACCAGTCTGGGCGTTCCTTAAGATGATCTAACACATTTCTCACGTGAGATACAGTTTCTATGAAGTTTGATTTTGTAGTCCGGGGTGGATCGGCGTTTCTGTCGATCATTCTCGTCTTCCAGAGACTATGCAAACCCATGAGCGTGAACAAATCATAAGGAAAACTATCGTTGGGTTTTAAAGGTAAAAACCGGATTGTGTAGGCGTTGACGTCCAAATCTTTTTTCAGTGTTCTCTGTAGGACGTCCCAGAAGAGGTAGGCATCAGTGCAGAAGATAAAACAATGTTCTATAGTTTCTGGTTGGTTACAAAGACGGCAATTCACTGACCAGGGTACAAAAATTCCTCGTTCGCGAAGCCAGGGTTTCACGGGCAACGTTGAAGTGTGAAGTTTAAAGAAAAATGACTTCGCGGTAGGTGAGACGCACAATTTTCGGACACGCGTTAGAACATCTTGTCCTGGTCCATGGTTGAATATACTTCGATACAAAGGTACAGGAAAAGTTATGTCAAGAAGATCGGCATATAATGCTTTGCGTGATATTGTAAATAAATATTCCAAAGAAAAACGGGCTCTTAGAAACTCTATTGCGCTTACTACTTCTCTGAGGAATCCCAAGGGACGTGATGTTCCCGCCGATACCGATGAAACCACCAAATAAGGTAAAGCATCTGAGAGTTCTGCCTGTAGGTAAGTACGAAGGAAGTGATGTGATGTTGTTCTGAAGAATAGAAAACGAGTTATTATTTGTTTTAAAAAGATGTGTAATAGACCGAGACCACCGACATCAACAGGGCGAAAAAGATTGTCTCGTCGCATAGGTTCCCAGGTGGAGTTCCACACGAAAGTAGCAAAAACCCTGTGAAACTTTTGAATGTGGGTTCTGGCACAGCAAATAACCTGAAGAACATACCAAAGTTTCGCTGCAAGAAAAATATTACACGCTTTTGTTCGCCCAAAAACGGACCACTGATTTGTTTTCATAATGTTAGCTTGACTTTTGATCTTTGCCACTCGTTCTGTCCAGTAGTGGCCATTGTTCCGAATACAATTGAGGGGCACACCTAAGTACTGGGGAGCAACGCAAGTCCACGATATGCCAGCATATTCTGAGGGTGTTGTGGCCCATTGCCCGCACCAGAAGCCAACGCATTTCGTCTTATTGATGAGAGCACCGGTAGCATCACAGAAGTTTTGAGCTAAAGTGAAGACATTGTCTATGCTTCGCTTATCAGCGCAAAAAAAGGCAATATCGTCGGCGTATGCTAACACCTTAACCTCTGTGGAGTAGAAATGATAACCTTCCACGGTAGGGTTTCTGAGCACGCTTAAGCACAAAGGTTCCAGATATAGAGAAAATAAAAGAGGGGATAAGGGGCATCCTTGTTTGACCGATGATTCTAGTCGAATTGGACTTGAAAGCGATCCATTGATTATAAGCCTCGTGGCACAGTTGCGGTAACACATCTCAATGCCCTTCAAGATTGTGGATCCTGGGTTTACATGACGAAGAATATTGAAGAGGAAAGCGTGGGAGACCCGGTCGAATGCCTTCGCCAAGTCTACTTGCACCATGGCAACTTGTCCAGCATGCAAAACGCAGGTTTCTATTACCGCACGTGCCACGTGTATGTTGGTTTGTATGCATCGCCGCTTAATTCCGCAGGTCTGGTGATCCCCAACGAGACTGGACGTAACAAACTGAAGTCTTTTGGTCAGAATTTTTGCAAAAATCTTATAGTCTACATTGCATAAAGTAATTGGCCGGTAGCTTTCAGCGTGAATGAGCTTATCTGGATCTTTACTTTTTGGAATCAGGACCGTGTGGCTGTTATAAAATGTAGGCGGCAAGGCTCCCACTTCATAAGCCTCCAAGAAGACCTCGAGTAGAAAAGGGCATAGCTGCTCTTTGTACTTTTTGTAAAACTCGGATGGGAGTCCATCAGGTCCTGGTGTTTTAGAGTTTGGTAGATGATCTACCGCCCATCGAACCTCTTCTAGCGTTATTGGTCCGCTAAGCAGGTCGCGTTGAAGCTGATCAACCTGGGGCATCAAAGAAACCAAGGGCTTGGCTAATTGATTGTCTACGGGTTGTTTGTGCCCAAAGAGGTTTTGGTAATGAAATTCAAACGTTTTCATAATGTCGTCTTCGTCTGTTGAGAGCGTCCCATTACAATTTAAAAGTTTAATTTTCTTTGAAAGTCCGTTTCGCATCTCGTCGTCGATTGCGCGGCGCGAAGGTGTTTCAGAGGATAGAAAACGCTTGCACCTAGACCGTACTAGTGCACCATGGTAACGGTTTTGTTCATAACGCTGTATCTGACATTTAACGCGTGTAATTTCTTCCTGAAACAAGCCGGGTGTTTCACACTCCAGCTCATAAAGAATGTGTAAATTTTTCAAAAGGGTAGATTCTTCTTTCTTTGCATGAAACGATGCAATGCACGCGCATTCAATTGCCTCGTTTTTAACCTCCTGCTTGAAAGAGTCCCATTGAGCAAAAATGCCGATATTATGATTTGTTGCTGCTTTGTTGAAGCATTCGCGCACACGCTCTTCGAAATCTGTGTTCTCTAAAAGTCTCGTGTTAAATTTCCACAAAGCCCATTTTGGTTTTGCCTTACGTTGCGTGTCTGTTCCGATACGGACGCTTACAAGACAATGATCTGAAAACGAAACTGGTTTCACGTCATATGCAGTCACACGTGAAAAAAGTGAACTTGAAACGTAAATACGATCAAGCCTGGCATTACATGAAGCTTGGAGGTGGGTGTATCGGAAAGTTGTACTTCGAGAAGCTCCAACATCAAATAGGTGATACTCATATGTGAGAGTGTTGAGAGCGTCAGCACTTCTATCAGGTCGAGAAGGGGGTGTTGACCTATCGTTTATATTACACACACAGTTAAAGTCGCCGAATAAAATTATTTGTTTGTCGGTATCTAAGTATGGGGCAAGGTTTTCAAAGAAAGAGCATCGCTGTCGAACGTCGTTATGAGCATAAATACAAATTAATCGCCAGTATGTGCCATGCAACGAGAAATCGCAACATATCAACCTTCCGTCGTCATCGACGGCGTGTGAGAGTGACGTATATCCTAGCCTTTTCCTTAAAAACAAAAGGCACCCTCCCGACAACCCATCAGCATGACTAACACATACCTCATAATTTGAGAGGAAAGGGTCCAGTGCACGAGCCGTGTCCTCATCAGACGATATTTTTGTCTCCTGGACGGCAACAAAATCGATCTGTTCTTTTGAGAAGAGCCTATACAATTGCGATTGTCGTGCACGAGAACACAGTCCTCTAACGTTCATGGTAGCGAAGCTGAGGGGAGGAAATGCCAGAGAGATGTTAGTTAGGGTGGCAGTGCATCGCCGTCTTTCACCAGGTGGTCAGGCTGTGGGGTCTTGCTGTGCGGCTGTTCCCGCACCGTGGTCGGCTTGCGTTTCACGTCACCTCTCTCGTCGTTCTTGTCTTCTGAGTCACCTGCTGTAGATGACTGGGACGTAGTCGCTGTTGAAGGAGCGGGTCGCTTGACGGGTGCTCCGCTGTATGGGGTGGGACGTTCTCGTCGTGGTAGCAGCTGTTGGAGAGAAAGCTCCGGAGTCGTGTTTAAGGGAGGAAATTCGCTATTTGGCCAATCTTCCTTTGTTGCCTTGATTGTGTTCCCTTGCGTTACCGGGCCTAGCCCTGCGTTAGGTGTCGTCTTCTCAGGGCTGACGGACTGTGACTGCTGTGTCAAAATTTCCAGCTCAGTTTTCGCTGTCGAGGAAGTGGGAGCGATCACCTCTCCTGTGGCGTCGACAACCTCGCTGATGTCCATGAGGTGTTCCTGGACAATGTCGTCCGTCGGGCTTCTTGATTGGCCTAGCTTGTCTGCGTAGGTCATCACACACTCACTCGTAGCGTGGCCATAACGGCGGCACTCCCCGCATCGTGGGGTTCTACACTCACGACGGATGTGACCTATGCGATTACATCGAAGGCATAGTGGAGGACGGCCCGGCACGAGCACCAAGCTTCGGCAGCCAAAGACTGTGAGCTGGTGCGGAATTTGGCTCGCGTTCATCCCTTCTCGAAGCGTCAAGGTCACCTCTTTGTTGAGCGTCTCCATCTGTTCCATTCCGGCGCATCTCCACTTTTCCTTCACGATGGAACGAACTGTACCGAATGGTGCCAGTGCTTCCTCGATACGTTGACTTTCCATGTGGACGGGAAGCCATAGTAGCTTCAGTTTTACATCTCTGGTGTCCGGGTCGATAATCAGGCACCTGCGTCCCTTTACGCGTAGTTCAGCTTTGTTGACGAGTTTGGCCTTCGCGTGTGCACTTGCGCAAGTCACCATCCATACGTGACTCATCTGGAATTGGCCTATCCCGATGATTTCCTGGCTATCGACCACGTCTCGTAAGGCGTCTCGGAAGTCCGGTGCTCTGTATGGCCTCGCTGCCAGATCTCCGTGCAAAAATACCGAATTGAGGCTCAAATTACCTGTAGGTAGGCGGGGTAGGACGGTCCGGTACTCTTCAGTCGTCATGTCAGTGGTTCTGGCCGAAGCCTCAGCAATTCCCCGGCCTGTGGCCGGTGTATTTTCACTGGAGAGCATCGAAAAGCGACCGTTTCGAACGGCGTCTTCTTCTTTCTCCAGCTACTGGGCCTTACCGAAGTTGCGCAATCTCTTTCCTTAGTAATAATTCAGCCAATAAACTGTAAGTTGGAAAGTTTGCTGCCGATTTTCCTCTAGCAAAAGCACTCCCGGGTCGAAGTCGGGATGCACCGCGCATTGGCGACATTCTCACGTAGTAAAGAAATCGTACGCGTGCATACTCAACTCGAAGTAGACACGTCGTGCTTGACGTTTGCGCGAGCGATGTCTTCAGCCACGAGAAGGGAGCGACGGCTCGGCGACGTCTTCGTGCAAATCGGCTTGGTGATCGGGCGTGTCGTACGGGATGAATACCAGTTCTTTTGATCAGTCCCAAATTTCTCTTTTAAAGGCAGACAAAATTCGCCGGTACCGCGAACGACAGTTCTGAAATAGAGGTCCCACGCCCGTCGTCCGCTGCCATCGCCGTCCCTGCGAGTCCCACGATACGCGAAACGACGCACGCACAGATTGCTTCCGGTTGTCTGTGGAACTTTTTTTTCAATCAACGTATTTGCAGCTTTTTAGAAGCCACAAAAAATGGGTTTCATATTTTTTTTCTATTTTTAATATTGAGTGTGTGCCTTCAGTGACCCACGACTTTGATTAAATTTGGTGGTCGCATCGATACCTTAGACAACGGCCCGTGACCGCGGAAAAGAGAGTGAGCGAGACTCGAACCGGCCAGTTCTTGATCGGCGGTTTTCGGGCGGTAAGAAACCGAATTTCGAGCCGTAAATTCTGTTCTGGGTAGTTGAGCTCTCATATGTCACGTACAACTAAAAACCTCGGCGAGCATAAATACCCTGTCAGTGTCCCTTTAAACTACGTCCAAGTCTGGCTGGAGCTCCAGGCATTGTTAAAGTTCGACTGTTCTCATCACCGCAGTGATGAGAATAGTCGAACTTGGGTAGTGGCACACGCAGTGATGAGATTAGTCGAACTTGGGTAGTGGCACACGCAGTGATGAGATTAGTCGAACTTGGGTAGTGGCACACGAGCCGCTACCCAAGTGTCCGCCGAGGCATTGATTGTTACGATCCGATGTACGGTGCTCACGCAGTTCTCCTGTCCAATCTATGAGCCGCGCTCGACTGTCGACAGGCGGGTGGTTTTGATCCCACAAATACGATATCAATCTTTGGGAAGGCAAGACTAAAAGAAATAGTCTCGTTTAATACTCGCCATTTCAACGCGACAAAGAAGCTTCTGAGCCAGTGGCGGCCTATGCGAGTACACTTGAGCCAGAGGACCAGTACGCCTCGAAA